TTAGACAGACATCGGAGAGCACAAATCAGCGTGTATTGTGGTGGAGTCTTATGCAGACAGGTGTCCTTGTTGGTATTGGCTATTGGCAGATGAGGCACCTCAAGAGTTTCTTTGAGGCTAAGAAATTAGTTTAAAATTTTGTCAAATTTAAGTTGTGCTATTTTTTTAATGTACTATAATCCTTAAAACAAGTAATTTAAAAATAGTTATGTGATTTGTGGAATTTTGTTAATGATCTGTATTTTTTCAATAAAAATAATTATATACAGAATAATAATATTATTTTTGTCAATCAAGTTCAAACAGAAGGCACAGATGCTTTGGCATTTACCTGAAGATTAGGTGGAATGCTTCACATCATGTAAATACACTAGGTCTCCCGAACCCTTCAAAATAAAATACTAGAGTGGATGCACTGCTTCTTAGCATAGTGTAAAATTTATAATCATGTCGATTTATTTTATGCTAGTCAGTCAGAACAAAATGTATTTAAGGATGTGAAGCCTAGTCTTGTCTTTCCTGCTCTATTACAAGGAGTAAGTGATTACTATATATGCAATTACTCTTAAGGGAAAGTAGACACTCATGCCTATTTAAATTTGGATTGCCATTCTAAATACTTTTTATAGGCTGTTGAAATTAAATTATCTATGAAAATGGCAAAAAATGACCGATCAACATGACGGAGATGATAACACAAATGCATGAAATTAAACTGCATTTTTCTTGTTCTGGTTTCCTAGTGATAATGGAGGTAGAGAGGAAAATCGAATCGAAGGAGTCTATTGTTAAGCCTTAGAGGCTATTAGCTCGTCCTTCCGCTCTTAAGGTGGGGAAGATCATCTTTTTCATGAAACACAAGGAAATATGGCACTTATATTGTGATAATTTGAATTGACTCACAAATAAAACAAAACTTTCTACTCTATTGCTCATGAATTCTACTGAAGTGAAACTGTGACTTCAACATTGGTGAAGTTTTTTCATCTCGCTTGGTAGCAGCTAAGTGCTCGCCGTAAATTTTACAACACACTGAGGTACATAGGCTGCACTAAAAGTATCGGGAATGGAATATTTCCACTGTTCCTGTCATATTAAAATCTTTTTAATTGAAAAGTCCTTGCTTTGTGGCATTCTTTGGGGGAGGCCTATGTTCAGCAGTGGACTTGTGAAGGGCTGTAATGATGATGATGAATGATGGTTTTAAAAATCGAATACACTTTATTTATTTAAAAAAAGATCTCGGTCTTGTCACAAGGTTTTGTCAAACTTGTTTAGTCGTTGAGAAAATGGAATTGACTCGAGAAAATCCAAGAGCGGTGATTTATTATGACTTTCGAAGTGGTTTAACACAAAAACAGTGTGTTGACCGGATGATTTCTGCATTTGGTGATGAAGCCCCATCCAAAACTACAATTTATCGCTGGTTTGCTGAATTTCAACGTGGACGTGTCAAGCTCAGTGATGATCCCCGTCAAGGTCGTCCAAAAACTGCAGTCACCCAAGAAAACGTTGATGCTGTGCATAAGCTGATTGAGGAAGATCGACATGTGACTACCGCGAAATTCAGCAAACTTTAGACATTGGCATGAGTCAAATACAAATGATCTTGCATGAACAATTAGGTGTAAAAAAGTTGTTTTCCCGATGGATACCGCATTCGCTCTGTGAAGAGCAAAAAGCGGCTCGCGTTACTTTCTGCGTCAGAACTCTCGAAAGATTCCACGCAGGATCCTCAAACGCTGTATACAACATCGTATCAGGTGACGAATCCTGGATATACGCGTACGAACCCGAAACATAAAACCAGTCACGAGTTTGGGTGTTCGAAAATGAGTTAAAGCCAACAAAAATTGTTCGTTCACGAAGTGTTGCAAAAAAAATGTTGGCCACGTTTGTCTCCAAAACCCCATGCCATTGTTACTACTATTCCTCTTGAGGGACAAAGAACGGTTAATGCAGAATGGTATGCTAGCATTTGTTTGCCACAGGTCGTTTCTGAACTCCGTAAAGAGAACTGCAATCGCCGCATCATCCTCCATCACGACAATGCGAGTTCTCACACCGCACACAGAACAAAAGAGTTTTTAGAGCAAGAAAACATAGAATTATTAGACCATCCGCCGTACAGCCCCGATCTAAGCCCTAATGATTTCTTCTATACTTTCCCTAAAATAAAGAATAAATTGCGTGGACAGAGATTTTCATCGCCTGAAGAAGCTGTGGACGCCTACAAAACGGCCATTTTGGAGACCACAACTTCCGAATGGAATGGTTGCTTCAATGATTGGTTCCATCGTATGGAAAAATGTGTCAAATTTCGCGGAGAATACTTCGAAAAGCAATAAATACATTTTTAAATAGTAATGTTGTGTCACTTCCTTGATTCCCGAAATTTTCAGTGCCGCCCTCTTACAATCCCCGCTGGCACCGACTGCTGGCCGGATGAGGAAGCTCAAGGTCACTCAGCGAGCTATGGAGAGGGCTATGCTCAGAATTTCTCTGCGTGATAAACTTAGAAATGAGGATATCTGCAGTAGAACCAGAGTGACCGACTTAGCCCAACCCAACGGATTAGTAAGAGGAAGTGGCAATGGGCTGGGCTGGTCGAAGAACCGACAACCGATTGGGAAAAAATGTTCTCGAGTGGTAGCCTCGTTCCGGCAGACGAAGTGTAGGGTGTCCCCTCACTAGATAGAGTGACCACCTGGTAAGACATGCAGGAAGTCGATGGATGCAGGTGGCTCAGGACCGTGCTTTGTAGCATTCCTTGGGGGAGGCCTATGTTCAGCAATGGACTTGTGAAAGGCTGTAATGATGATGATGAAATCTTTTAAACATCCTCAATAGACTAAAATTACTGCATTCTAGATTATTTCACTTGTTTTACATTCTCACCCAATTTATTCAGTACAATGAAAGTAGTGGTAGTAGTTTCTCAATGAAAAGTAGGTATGAGAAAAAGTATTAATAAAAATATTTAATTTTTTTTACACCTAAAATAATTTTTACAAACATTTAGTCGCTTAAAATATGAAATTTAATATTACTGTAAATATATCATCCTTAACATCGTTTTTAAAAATATACCTAGTCAGGTCATAAGTATTGTCACACAGTAAAAACTTTTCTTTTAGAATGCTGGCCGCAAAAAAGTTTATTGAATTCGAATTGTTCATGAAAATAAAACTGTATACTTTTTAGAATTTTACTCGTTTTTAAATATGGAGTGGACGCTTAAAGAAGACCGTGTTGCAGTTATTGCGTTGCATTGTTCCGGTTACGCGCCAATTCAAATTTTTGACATACTGACAAATTTGAAAATAACCAAAAGATTCGTTTATTGTACCATCAAACAATACAATGAAGACTCTAGTGTAGATGACAGGTCAAGAAGTGGTCGCCCTCGGTCTGTTAGGACTCCAGCAGTGATAAAAGCTGTGAAGGCGCGAATTCAAAGAAATCCCAAACGTAAGCAGAAACTGTTGGCCCTTCAGATGAGGTTAAGCAGAACCACGGTGAAAAGGGTGTTAAATGAAGACTTAGGGCTTCGGGCATATCGAAGAAAAACAGGACATCGTTTGAATGCTCGTCTAATGGACCTGAGACTGAAGAGATGCCGCGCTTTGTTGAAGCGGGAAAAAATATCGGAAAATTCTTTTTTCGGATGAAAAATTTTTTACCGTAGAAGAGAACTACAACAAACAAAATGATAAGGTCTACGCACACAGTAGTGAAGAAGAGAGCAACCGTATTCCGCGTGTCCAACGAGGTCATTTTCCATCCTCGCTCATGGTATTGTTGGGAGTTTCTTATTGGGGCTTAACAGAGGTACATTTTTGTGAGAAAGGTGTAAAAATGAATGCAGTTGTGTATCAAAATACAGTCCTGATGAACATTGTGGAACCTGTTTCTCATACCATGTTCAATAATAGGCACTGGGTATTCCAACAAGATTCGGCACCAGCTCATAGAGTGAAGAGCACACAAGACTGGCTGGCGGCGCGTGAAATCGACTTCATCCGGCACGAAGACTGGCCCTCCTCCAGTCCAGATTTGAATCCGTTAGATTACAAGATATGGCAACACTTGGAGGAAAAGGCGTGCTCAAAGCCTCATCCCAATTTGGAGTCACTCAAGACATCCTTGATTAAGGCAGCCGCCGATATTGACATGGACCTCGTTCATGCTACGATAGACGACTGGCCGCGCAGATTGAAGGCCTGTATTCAAAATCACGGAGGTCATTTTGAATAAACTTTAGTGTCATAAGAATCTATGTTTTGTTACGTTCATTTTGGTATATGAATGGTTACATAATGAATAAACTTGTTTCAATTATTTTATATTAAACATGTGACAGAATTTATGACCTGACTAGGTAGTTTACATAATATCAAAATAATTTTGCTTAGTCAGTTCTTTGATAAAAGCTCATCATGTATAAATACTAATCTTAAAATTTATTTTGTTAAATTCTTGTCCAGTGGGTGTCATAAATTTTGTCCCTATGTATATTTTTTAATAAGTGAGTAAAATTAATGCTGTAGATGTGATATTAAGAACTATATGTCAGGGAGTGTGTTGCAAAAAGGTGTAGATTCTTTTACATTCTTATGAGCTTAAATTGAATAAAAAGTTTTGTTTGATTTTTAGATGCTGAGACCAGCATTAAGAAAATAATGTTTTGGTGGTTTGATCTCGTTAAAAGAATGAATGATGAGTGTGATAAATCACATTTATGCTACAGGAGTAACAGTCTGCAAGGAATGTGTTAGAAGTTTATCGACCAAATTAACAATATATTGAAGATGAGTCAAATCAAGAATATCCTTAACTAATAAGCATATAATATTATGTGTAGATAATATATGGATGTGAAACAAGTGAAAGGTATGTCAGGATTGTGCCAAATGAAGTTGATAATGGGCTTCGCCTACCCTTTTGAGTGACCAGAGAGAGTTTATGTGTATATAAAGTATGCTATGATTTGTTACAAACTATTCTACACCATTTTTTACTTTTAACACGTCATCTAAATATTTAACAAATAATGATGGATTTGGCTTAGGAAATGGAGTCAGCAAACTAAAATCTACTGCTCCTAGTGTGCTCTCCAGAGTGTCACACGTACAATAGTACAAGTGACCGTCGACTTGCAATTGTTCTGCTAACTCTAATTGATGATTATCCATCAAATCTTCGTTAACAACAACTAAAAGCGGCTTATTTGCATCTAAAGCTTCAAGACAACTTCCGGCACCAGCATGACTAATGACTAAGTCTGCTTTATTAATATCTTCTTGTATAGAATCTTTAAACCGATACAAAAGTAATTTTATTCCTTCTTTTTTGTATTCTCCTGGGTCAATGTCGCTATTTCCTATTTGAAAGGTTATTTCTTTGCAACCAATTTGTTTTAGGGCCTGAAGTATAGGTGGCGAGGTGATATATTCGGCAAGTAGATCGAAGCGTGTTGTACCTACTGTAACAAAACATTTTGTATAATTAAAATGCATTTTAGTTTTATACTATTTCTAAAGTTTACGCAAGTTTCCTTGGTTTCTTGACCACAGAACACTAATTCTTGACTTGACTTTCTTGTGTTTACTTTTTTTATCTGACTTTACGGCTCTGGGTTCTAGGTTCTAGCCCTTTTGAGCCTGAAGTTACAATGTATAATTATCCTTCATAGTCCACTGCACCACAATAATATGTTGATGCGTCACATTGTGCAGCAGCAGGAGATTTTGACTAGCTATGAGCATTATAGCGTATAGACAATTATGGACACGTCTATTTACTTTATAACGTATAGACAGTTATACAAAACGCTCATATCTGTCTATTTCTTATAACGATCCGCAACGCATAGAGTACCTTTGAATTGCAACGCTGCAACGTTGTGTTGGCTTGGAATCGTGATTCGTGATATCATTATAACATCACGCGCTCGCTGCCGTACAAAAACAAATGTTATGCCGTGTACGATAAGAACGAAACTGTTGAAATGTGTAGGTGAGTGAAGCGAAATTCGAGAAATAAGTTTATTTCTTTTTCGTATACCTAGATACTCATATAACTATTTCAAATTGGCAATGTGTAAAGCAATTTTAAACCTCGTGCTGTTTATTATAAAATTCTACACAGTAAATACGGGTTTTGCCATATATTGACAAATAACACTTGTTCCCCAAAATCTAAGGGCCAAACTGTATTAATAGCCTTGACCTTGTTATGACGAAATATTATTATTAACCATCTGTCATTCAACCTTTGAGCTTGAGTTTTCAAATTAATTGTGTCTCTGTATTATTATTTATAAACTTTGTTTTTTTTTGCCGCCCAATTTTTTTATCCCCTCTCTTGTTGCCATTAAAGATACTACAGTACCTGTATTTAGCTGATGCGGTTTTCTGTTTTTAAAGATCGAAGCGCACTAAATTTACTTTCGACCGACGCGTTTGAAAATGGCAGTATGAGCACATACTGCCATTTTCAACCGCATCAGCTAAATACAGGTACTGTAGTATCTTCAATGGCAACAAGAGAGGGGATAAAAAAAATTGGGCGGCAATGTCAAGTTTAATATTTCGAGCAAAATGAAAGTGCAACAGAGGTTAAAAAATAAATATTATTTAAATAATTGAACTACAAAGACATAACAGTTTTTATGTTTGGAAACATGTATTCTCCCGCAGCATTTTTAAGGTGGAATACTTTACCCCAATAAATTTCGCCATCGATGTTATCTCCATAAATTTCAAGCCCATGTTGATCAAAATCTAACAAAGCATGAGTTCAGCACTCGTCATCTAATTTTTGCGCGGTCATAAATTTATAAAGTACTGGAAACTTAATTAGAAACTGTTGAGCTTCTGATGGTTTTACAGAAGATATAATAGAAAATAAAGGATCCCCGAAATCAAATCGCTTGGTAATGTCTGACGTTAATTCAATATAAAACGCCTGGCAGGTGCTATAGAAACCTGCAATAGTAGCACGAGGTACATTTTCGTAATTTTTTTAAATTTTCCATACTTTCTCCAGCCTTTAATCCAATATATATTTCGTTTAAACTTAGGAAAAGTGTTGGATTTTGAAGTCTGCGTTTAAAATATTAACACAGGACTTGACATAGCTAATTTTCATGAAATTAGAAGACGAAGTTTTCAAAAGGTTTTCGACTTCTGGTTTCAATTTGTGAAGAAGGGATGTTTCTGATTGAAACAAGACATTGAATTTTGTTACTAGTGCAAGTACGTAAGACATGAATTCCAAATATACCACAGTGAATTCGTTGTTCATTGTAATCAACATTTTTTCGGTAGTGTTCGACGGATCTGAGAGGATTGTTTCTGTCAAGTAGGCTTTTAATGGAATATACTGCTCTAAGACACGGTCTACACACGCTTTCAGTGAGAGCCATCGAGTTTGAGCTGGTGTGAGAATTTTGTAAATCTCCACTTGAAAGAATTCTTGAAACTCTAAATTTTAATTGTCTTTGTGAACTTTTACTGAAGTGAGCTCCAACAGAACCCAAAATATCTTCAACATTTCGAGGTAATTTAAGACAAGCTTTAGATGATGATAGGCGTATTATGTGACAAGAACATTTCACCAGAGCAATGTGAAGCAAATCTTTTTTAAGAAGAGCAAAAACAGAGCAATGTTCCCCAACCATCACGGATGTGGTATAAGAACTAAATCCTACCATGTTTTCTATGGATATGTTTTTATTTCGACGTATTTGATGTAAATAGTCATACAGACCCGTAGCAGTTTCTGATGACAATTCCACTATATCTAGAAACAAATGCTCTACCTTATTAGTGTTCTCATCATAGACAACAGCAGTAAAACAGCATTGTTTTAAAGAGCTCTGATCCGTCGTTTCATCCATTATCAATGAAACGAAGATTTTTTCTCCGCGTGATTTTTCATATATATCCTCTAAACATGTGTTTTCTAAAATATTATTTATTATAGCCGTCGCCTCGGTTCTGTGTAAATTCATATTATTAGCTATAACAGCGTCTGCGAAAATCTCTTTGCAGAGTGGGCGCAACATGTCGCTAAATGATATTGGTATATTATTTTCAGCCAACGCTCCGGCTAATTTTAGTTCAAGCTTTTCGTACATTTATTTCTAAATCAGTCACTGGCAAATAATTTGAAATTTTTGGAACATTCTGTATTTCTAATGATTTTTTCTTATGGCGATCAGAATCCATAATACATAGAGTCAGATCACTTTTATGCGCTATAATTGACACCACACAAAGCATACAGTGTGTTAATTTCCATCTTTCATTTTCGAATCTTTGCATAGCCAGCTCAAGAAGTTTGGTTCTTTAAGCCATAAATCGTTAAATTTATTCAGGCGTTTTATTTTTTTAGTTTGTGGATTATTTGATTCACTTGTTGCCAAGCCCACTGAAGTCAAACTGAAACTGGGAACAGCATATTCTGCTTCTATACTAGAAGTTGAAGCCTCTGATGTCTCCTTTTCGGGTTTACTTTTACGTCCTGGCTAAAAAACAAAAATTAGTATAGTTAAGTTAATTATAATCACTGAGTTTCTGACAGACTGTAACCTGCTATATGAGTTTACTGATCGCGTAAAATAAATAAATAGGCTATTAATTACCTTAACTTAGGATTATCTTCTTTGTTTCGGCCTTTCATTAACCATTTATCCATATTTGTACAAGATGGTATCGTTACGGCGCGACAAAATACGAAATCAAATGCAAAGCTGGCGTATAACATATATGTATTATAATGTTAAGAGAATAAGAGATCCATTAATCTATTTTACAAATCACAAAACGTCAAAAGAAAGGGAATCCCCTAATCATAGTGTCGGCAAACTTTTCCAATATATCTTGATTTTATTCAATTTGGTTTTTTGCGACCATAGATCCGAAAAATAATTAAGATTTTTTGGCTTGGATGCTTGTCTTTCAAGCGATGTTTTCTTCTCATTCGGGATCTTCATTTTTATAGATTTTTTTTATTTAAAATATGCTGATGCATCACATTGCGAAGTTTATGTGAGATTTTGACAACAGCTCAGTCCAGTGGACAGTCGATGACGACTGTCTACTGGGCTGAGCTGTTCATAAGGCGCCTAAGCGATCAAAATAACTTGAGGTTTATATCAACATAAAAGCACTTGTTTCGTCGTTTTCTCTAATAGTTCATGTTCACGTTCACGTTCACATGTGCAGACACTTAATACACAAATTCGCATCACTTTTCCGTATCAGAACCCACTTCAAACCATTATTTAAACGATAAAACGAGCAACAAGCAATTGGCGAAAGAAAAAAGATGCCGAAATTTAAATTTGGTGCAATGAAGAGTATTCAGTCCTCCGTAATTTATAAGTATCTAAACTATAAAAAAAATATTAAAGTATTTGGAATTCTTGAAAAAGTATGTCGACGAAGATTTTAAAATCTCCGCATTTTCCCCGCATAATTACAGTCCGCAATAAATCCCCCCAACCAACATGAGATTTCTCGCAGTTTGGGGGAATTCCTCACAAATCGGCAACACTGGTCAGCAGACAGTTGACGATGGTACGCGATCGTAGAGTCTATGTACACGATGGTATCTCAATCTCAAGGTGCCTAAGCAGACCATGTTACCACATGTCAAACATCGAAACATCGATGTCAATTAACCCATAATCGATTGCTTGAACCCGCGAAATCAATATCAACTAAATCTTGCATCTCCTCTAAAATATTTAAAATTTTGAATAATTCAGAATGCTTGAACGCATCGATAACCTAAAAATATATCATTATGGTGTATTAAATTTAACTGTCAAGTGTCAACTGTAATGTGGCAGTTGTTACAGATTTCGTTTTGTTATTGGTGTCGTTGTTGGTTGTATGTTTCTTTGTCGGTGTTTTAAAAAAAACCGATGTTCCAGTGGATCTTAAACACGATCCAATGCTCCTTTAGTACAATGTTATTGGTTCTACCTATCTAAAATAAAAAATAAAAACTTGCGGTGAGATATTTGACCACAATCGCTACATCAACGCCATCTGAGCGGTTATCTAACGACTTCAAAAAGGAGGAGACACTCAATTCGACTGTATATTCTTTTTTTAATGTGTGTTACCTCATAACTTTTTTCTAGATGAACCGATTTCGATGATTTTTTTTATTTAGCTTTATCATGTGGTCCCATAAACGTCTGAACAATAGTTTTTGAATTATCCTTAATAATTTATATTGAAGTCAGTTGTACAAATTTTTATTTTTAAATTATTTTCAATAGCTGGCTTAACTCTTTATTAACAGAGAAACAGATTGAAAGGTACTTCTTTGTCAAAATTACTATTTAAAAAAAAATGAAAAGAATGAAAAGAAAAAAAAATCAATCGGCAAAAATATTGGACTATATAACAAACTAGCTGTTCCCCGCGACTTCGTTCGCGTGTTAGGGTTTTTATGTTTCTGCGCGGAACCCTGATTCTTTTTCTAAAATAAAAGTAGCCTATGTTACTCCTTATGAAATAAGCTATCTGCCAGTGAAAGTCCCGTCCAAATCGGTCCAGCCGTTTCGGAGATTACCCGGAACAAACAGACAGACAGACAGACAGACAAAAATTTTAAAAATTGTATTTTAGTTATAGGTATCGTATTTACTTTCATATGCATTTAGTAAAAAACTGTAATTTTGACATTACAAACAGACACTTCAATTTTATTTATTTGTATAGATGAACTAGATTTTTGTGAACTTCTTCCAGTATTTTTTTAACTACTGTTTTACACTACATTGTTTATTAATTGTTTTTACTTCATTAATTATAAACCATAAACAACATGACAATTTTTTTATTCATCTAATTCTAACCTATTAAATACATGTGCAAAAAACATCGATAATGGCCAACACTGATGTTTCGAGTAGGATAAACATCGAACATCGTTGTTGAGCTATCGATGTCAATATCGATGTCGTCATCAATGTTTCTACAACATCGATCATCCCTAGTCTCTTGTGTTTACGTTGCGTCGCCGCCACTTCTTCTTCTTCTTCTTAATAACTGGCTTTACGGCTCTGGGTTCTAGCCCTTCTGAGCCTGAAGTTACAATGTATAATAATTATCCTTCATAGTACACTGCTTCACAATATGTTGATGCATCATATTGTGCAGCCCTTGGAAGATTTTGACAGCAACTTGAGCCGGCAGACAGTTGACAGGTGGCGATGGTATCTCAAGGCGCCTATGCAGACAGACACCTTATCTTGAGAATCACATCACCATCAGAGCACTTGTTTCACCGTTTCCACTAATAGTTCACATACGTAGACATTTAATACACAAAATCGCACTAATTTTACATATCAAAATCCACTTCAAACCATTATTTAAACAATAGTACAGGACCAGCAATCCGTCGTCGGTCAAGTTCCCGCCAAAAAAACCGTTTCGCCGCCACGGAACACAGTTACCATAGATAAATAAATATGTAGCAACTAGCAAACCGAGACTACACCGAGAGAAGAATACTATCTTCAAACTAAAAAAAATAAGAAGCTACTATGAGTATATATAGGATACTACTAGCGGCACAGTGAGCGCTTATATGAAACCTTTTTCGCGGAAATTTCAAACTTGTGTTCTGTAAGTTTTAAACTTTTTGTTAATAACGCAAATTGGAGTAGTTTCGGTTCAAGGCTCACAAAACTATTTGATGCCTTCCCATACATTTGAAGGTTGCACTAAAATTACTCGAATTTACTTTAGAGGATCATGTGAAATAAAATAAAACTATGAATAGGTATTGTTATGTAGTTTTATTTTCTGGAAGACAGTTTTATAAGCTGTGCATTATTATTATTGATGTTTTTGCAAGCCATAAGCGCAAAGCGCGTAGGTAAGATTCCAACTTTTTGTCTCATGAAATTGTATCTAACAATCATCTACACAAATAAATAAAATTGAAGTGTCTGTTTGTAATGTCAAAATAATAGTTTTATTTTTATAGGAAAGGGGGCAAACGAGCATGCGGCTAACCGGATGGTAAGTGACTACCGCCACCCATGAACAACTGCAACACCAGGGGAATTGCAGATGCGTTGATCGCCTTTTAAAAAGAAGTAGGCTCTTTTCATGAAGGTCCCTAAGTCGTATCGGTCCGGAAAAATCGCTGGTGGTAATCAGTTCCACAAGGAAGTTGTGCGAGGAAGAAAACTTCTTCTATATCGCACAATGGTGGACCGCCAATCATCCAGATGGTATGGTTGGTACCGCGAGTTTTGTCGCGATGTGCGATGGTGAAATTGAGCGGCTGGAACTAGTCTGCTAATGGGTCACACCAACATGTTCTAATTTGACAATAAAACCTATATAGCTTTAAAGCTATGTTTATGAAAATAACAATAGTTTTTGTTTCGTCCAAATTGGTGCAGAAATACGAAAGTTATAACGTTTTGAAGTTTCGCAATATTTTTTAATTTTTACCCACTCGTTCTCTGTGACGTGACGTCACAATCCGAGAGAGCAAACGTGCAGTAGGAACTTCCTAAGTTCAGTACTAACCGCGCGCTCGGAAGTATACGGTCGTTTACCTACATATTATATCGAATGTCAGAGTTAATGTCCGGTTGACTGTATTAGATGACATAATAGTTATAATAAACCCAACGATATAGTAATAATAATCTAATCTAATCCAATGTAATCAATATTATTTATGATGAATAATTTGATCTAATAATCTAATCTATTATAATGAATAATGTAATCAATGAACTATTAATAATATTTGACATTTGTATGTCCCATGAGGATTCAACTCGGCTGGGCAGCGTTCAGGAAACTACGACACATCTTCTCGTTAGACATACTTCAAAACCTGAAAACGAAATTGTACAACCAGTGCGTGTTGTCAGTGATGACTTACGAATCTGAGACGTAGTCCTTCACTGCTGGCCGTATGAGTAAGCTCAAGGTCGCTCAGCGAGTTATGGAGAGGGCTATGCTCGGGGTTTCTCTGCGCGATAAACTTAGAAATAAGGATATCCACAGTAGAACCAGAGTAACCGACATAGCCCAATGGATTAGTAAGCTGAAGTGGCAGTGAGTCGGCCATATAGCTCGAAGAACC